TAAGGTCCTAGGTCATTGGTTGACCTTGCAGGTCAGGTCAATGACCCCAAAGGCGGGAAAATCGGGACCTGTTAGAACGTCGTAAAGTGTGGCTGTTATGGTTTTTTTCAGGGTCCTGATCACGAATATCATGTTAGTTTTGATCACAGATGATGTCTTCATGTATTTAGGCTAGGTCGGGTCAGGTCAGGTCAGGTCAACCAGTAAGGGTATTCGTAGTAGGTGGCAACCGCCTCTGACAGCTTCGTAACATGTTACGAAGGCACCAAAACTACTTCGTAAATGTTCATATGGTTGCTAAATTCGAATTCAGCTCCAAAAACTGGCCTAGAAACATGTAAAACTTGAAAAAGTGAACCGAGGTCATCAAAGGTCAATGACCTGACCTGACCTTCAGGTGACCTTGACACCCACCCTAATGCATGGGGGCAACATCATATCACATGCTTGAACGCTTGAAACCACGAAAAGACTGCAAACGCGCGGCTAATGCGAGCCGACATATACGCCGAATCGCGATTCCAGCCAAACATGGTCTCGAAAAGTAGGTCACAGGTCAAAGGTCATTTGGGTCAGGGTCATGAAAATTTCAGGGTAGGTGTGAAATTGATGAATGCGAGGGTACTGAAAGTTTCGTCGCGATCGGCCGCTTTTTACGCGAGTTATTCGCGAAAAACCATGGGGGGGTCCGTTCGACCCCCCCCCCCCTATACGGGCGAGGGTTAATTTGAATTCACTGGAAAGTGTAGGTATTCATTGCAAAGGTTGATACCACTCGCTATTTTACTGTTTCAGCCAGCTGCAAACAGTGTTCCATTTCGTTACCAGGTTTGCGACCGAGCCCGGGCACCACTGCATCAGCCTGGTGTTTCTCTTCATGGCGCGTCAGCTTAGTCCCGCCCTCCGGGAGATGGCGGCGCCATATACCAGCTCAAGGTGGCGGGAAGGTCGCCCTGGGGCGGGGGCGGGGGTGGACACATCCGCTGTCTGTCCCGTGGCACTTCCGTCCCCCCCCCCCCACCCCCACCACCACCACCACCTCCTCCCCAGTTTGCAGCAAATGTTGAGGGATGCAATGCAACTACATAGTACATATATAGCACCGGCTCGGCACGGGCTAATACGTATTAGCCGTTTTCACGACGGGCTATCCGGCGAGTGAACCTAATTTGACCAAATTTGCACCTAATCTGCACCAAATGTGCACCAAATGTGTACCAGATGGACGTCGTGAAAACGGCTATTGCTGAGCTGAACGGGATCCAGATGTAGCATTTTTTGGTTTGCCTCCATCTAAAATTTTCGCCTGAAAACTGCTGTTGGTGACCTATATGATCTAGCATGGCTTTTCAAATCACTGCTGGCCATCAACTGCTTGCCCTGTCCGTTGCATATGGGTAAGTAAGGGCAAGGGCTCCGTCACGACCCGATGGTTGGGAGGGGGGGGGGGACGAAGGCCGTTTGAAGTCGATTCTTTCCATGCAACACCCATAGGCATAATGTTAAAAATGTAAAATATTGGGGGGGGGACAAGTCCCCCCGTCCCCCCGGTGACGGAGCCCATGAGTAAGAGATTTTATGATTCTGAAACTGATCGTGGTTATTGGTATACCTACTTTTTCCACTATTGCTACAAAATGCTAAAATCACGAAACTGGCCTAACCCCAGGTCACCGATATTACTATAACCCGCACCCTGATGGGGTCCGTTTATAACGCCACCTGGTGGGGAGGGGGGGGGGCATTTTTTGCTCCCCCCTCGTATCTCCGAAACTACTGGACGGATCCGCAAAATCCAAACGGGGTTCGAAAGCCCTATCAAATTTGTCGAAGGAAATCCAATTTCATTGACATCGGGGTCACCGATGATGTCACAGGCCAGGTCAATGATAAAATGTTTTGCCGGTCACGGGTCTTCTAGGGAATGCACCATAACATCGACTAAAACGCATTTAATCGAAAATCAGCGATAGAACGTCAGTTGCCTAGTACATATGTTGCTATTAGAGGTCACCGATAATGTCAGGTCAGGTGTCAGGTCACAGGTCAGGTCACCAAGGGTCAGCACATGAACCCAATTTTACTAGGGCTGTGTGATGCATGTTTTATGGCCAATTTTTCATTTCAACCTCAGTGGTGATGGTTATAAAAGTTAAAACCATCAGGAACGGTTTAGGTCACTCCCTGGTGGAGCTGGGGTCAAGGTCAGGTTAACCCGCGCCCCGTTGGGCTCTGCCGAGCAACGCGCCCCGTTGGGGGGCCATTTTGCCCCCCCCCCCTAAGATCTCGAGAACCACGCAACGTAGCGACAAGCGGCAAACGGTTGTGGATATCCCTATCAGGGAACTACCTTGTGACCCAATTTTATTGACCTAGGTCAAACCGATGACGTCACAGGTCAGGTCAAATGTCCAATTTTCACCGCTTACAGGCATTTCAAGAAATGCGTTGTAAAATCGAGTAAAATGCATTTCATTGAAAATCATCGATGGGGAAATGTTCTTCAAACACATATTTTGCTAGTTGAGGTCACTGATACCAGGTCAGGTCACAGAGGTCAGGTCATCGGGGGTCACAATATGAAAGTGTCGTGTGATACATGTTTTATGGTCCATTTTACATGACGAATGCGATTATGTGAGTCAGGCAGCCTTTGGGGCCAGCTTAGGTCACGTTTTGGTCAAGGTCAGGTCAAGGTCAGGTCAAGGTCAGGTCAAATTAGGTCAAATTTCAAAGTTGATATTTTTGCATAAAATGGGTATCGAATCGATGCAGCTCGTCACGGGGAGTTCAATGGTGGTCTTTGTTTTGCCGTACGAGGTCTATAATCGCTAAAAATTGAGTTCAAAAATTTCACGTCATCATTTTTGAACAGTTTTCTCGCTATAACTTGGCCAAAAAACGAGATATCGATCTAAAATTTGGTATGTATATAGAAGAGCGTAGGGACTATCACATATATTCCGGTTTTTTTCGAAATTCGGAAAAAGTTTTGGATTTTTTTTAGTTTTTCTAAAAAAATCAATTGTTTGAAATTTTTTGGGTCAAAAACCCAAAATTTTGAAAATCCGAGATAGCAATTTTGTAGCGCCGCTTTTTGTCTATTAGACCATACAAAGAACTTTGAAATTGCTTGATAACTGTAGATTTGGTGAGCGTTTCAAGATTGCATGTTTTTTGCTCATTTTTGCTCGAACATGACCTCAGTTTGACCTCAATAACTCCTGACCTAAGGTGACCTAAGACTTGAAATTTGGTGTGAAGGTGTCAAATTGATGCCCGGAAAGGTACTGAAAATTTGGCGGCGCTGCGCGCCGCCGTTTTCTTGCTATTCAGGAAAAACCACAGGGGGGGCCAAAATGGCCCCCCCAACGGGGCAAGGGTTAAAAAGGTCAAATGTTGAAGTTGATATTTTTGCGTAAAATGGGTATTGATTCGATGCAGCTTGTCACGGCGAGTCAAATGGTGGTCTTTGTTTTACGCTACGTGGTCTAGAATTGCTGAATATTGAGCTTGAAATTTTTACGTTATCAATTTTGAATAGTTTTTTCGCTATATCTTGGCCAACAAAAGAGGTATCGATCTAAAAGTTGGTATGTAAATAGGAGTTGGTAAGGACTATCAGATATATACGATCAGTTTTTTTTCGAAAATCGAAAAACTTTTGGATTTTTTGGCAATTATATTTTTTAAATATTTTTTTTTTATTTTTGGGGGTCAAAATAAAAAAACAAATTTCATAGATCGCAGTTTGGTAGCCCTGCTAATTCTACGCCTTATATGTCCAAACGTTTTTTCTGTATTTTCAAAGCTATAGGCCTGATGGCTCTTCCCGCAAAACCTTTTTTTTGGGTCGAAAACGGCAGAACATGATTTCACTCTGACGTCATTTGCAGCCAACCTATCATAACCTTTGGAAACATTTTCGGTCACAATGTGTAAAATTGAGTGTAGGGTACTGGAAGTTTGGGGACGATCGGCGCGCAGCGGTTCTGGAGATGTATCGAAAAGTCTGGAGGGGGGGGGGCAAAAAATGCCCCCCACCAGAGTGCGGTTTACCCTGCGTCTCACTGGGGGGGGGGGAGGGGAGCAATTAAGAGCACCCTCCGAGTTTTCTGCAATATCTTCTTAAAGGGACCCTCCCACCTTCAAAAAAGTTAATGAATTGGCATGAAAATGCACCCAGTGGGGCGCGGGTTAAAAAAGGAAATCTGACGTAAGGTACTGTTACCCTCACACAAAACACCGAACTTTAAACGTCTACGAGATAAGCTGTAGCAATGACAAACTCGCGTCTTTTATCACACAAACTGCTTACTATTGACCTGACCCTAGCTTGACCTGGTGAATAGGTGTCCTCTCTCATTTTCTAGCAATTAGCATCACAATGTGTGACTAATAACTATAATATTTGTGATGAGATCATCATATAACTTTTCCAACAGCATCGCTCTCAGATATATTTTTTATTCCAAATTTTCCACTTCGATCAATAACTTCCTAATCGTCCACATTTAGTGGCAACACAAAGTTTATCCTTATTTTTGTACCAGCCTAGCAACGTACCTAGCCTACCTTGTACTCAATATTAGTTATAATATACCAGTGTGATTTTATTTTTACCTACATGCTGGATTAACTTTATCGAAACGTTCAAATTTTCATGAAACCTGCAATGCAATCATGTGGCCTGTTGTTGCTTAGACTTGAGCTGTTAATCGAATGGGAACGGTTCCCCGAAGCTTACTTCTGATCAGTCCTGTTTCTCATCAGTCTCATGTTTCCCTTGTGAACCGTTTCTTGGTTCTTGATCATTCTTACTTACGGGCCGCCACAAATTCTTGCATTTGGGTCCGGTAAGAACCGTTTCCAAATCAGAGCTTGGTACTTGGTTTTTGCTGCTTACGAGCCGCCACAAATCTTTGCATTTGGGCCCGGTCAAATCAGAGCACCTATGTGCAATTTTTATTCCTATAACTCATTGAACCCACGCAGTCGTCCCACGGCCTTCAACCAATCAAAGACCATGCTCTGCCCTACGTCATTGTAGCGCCGGCCGCTGATTGGCTGTTGGTGCGCAGTGTCCCCGCGCAGCCGGCCCGGCGCGGCCCACCCCAGTCGGCCCCAGGAGTCGGCCGGTCGCTCCGCTCCCTGCCCGTCAGTTGGCGTTCGGCAGCCCTCCAAAGTGGTTGTGCGCGCTCCGGTCCTCCCGTGCTGTGTGCCGTCGACGATGATGATAATGGACAATCAGAACGCGCCCGACCTCAGGCTCTTCTACCTGGGCCACGCGCAGGTCAGGCGCGCTGCCGGTTCCCCGCGACGACGCCTGTTCGGCCCCGTTGACCCGGCCGAGACTAGGCGCGTCCTCGAGGAGGAGATGAGGCACATCTACGAGAGCCAGAAGAAGAAGTGGAACTTTGACTTCGAGAAGGAGGAGCCGGTGCCGGGCGGTCGGTACCTGTGGGAGCGCGTGCAGCCGCCGCCGCCGGAGCAGTCCCGCACCGAGGCCGCCTACGGCCCGGAGCCCTCGGAGCGGGTTCAGGAGCCGGCTGCTCCGGCTCCGGCTCCGGCTCCCGTCGCCGCCCCCGCCGCCGCCCCATCCGACCGGGCGTCGAACCGGCCCGCCAGGAGTCAGGCGGCAATCACAGGTGAGCATGCCCGCTCCTTCCTTCTCGTATACGTGCACTTTAAAGGCGGCGCAAAAAGCATGCCGGAGCCGGCCCGAAACCGTTGACCCCCGGCCGGCCGGCGGCGCGAGCAAAAACCGGTCCTGTGCCGCGGTAATGGCAGGCCGGTCCGTGCACGGGACCGGCCAGTCGCTGCACGTCAGTGCACGCCAGACCAGTCCGGGCCCCGGCCGCACCCCGGCACTGGCCGCTGCAGCCGCTGGACGGACCGGCCGCGGCCGCAGATATACCGGTCTGATCGCCAACAGCTCTGAAAACACTCGAGGCAGATGCTGTCATTTTTTAACTTATGGTCGAAGGACTCCTTTGAACTAATTTCAACTTCCAGAAACAAAATATTATTGCTAGTACTGCAACACAATTCAGAAAAAAAAACTAGAAATCACAAACTTCGAATTTACTGCACTTTCGTAGCTTGTGCAGCTGCGAACCTTGAAATTAAGTTTTCATTTGATTTTCCGTTCTGGTATCTTTTTATCGTTCATCATTCAATGTGCTAAAGAGATTTCCCTTGAAGGATTGTGTTCCCCTGATGCGTGGAGATCACAAATTTATATTTTTACCCACGAACTGTTTCAGATACAGGGTTGTGCTTGACTCATGAGTCGAGTCAGCAATTTGACTCAACTCTGACTCAAATGAGTCAGATTTGAGTCGAGTCGGATAAAATGCTGAGCTGTTGAGTTGAGTCAGAGTTGAGTCGGACAAAAATATTAAGGCGTTGAGTTGAGTCAGAGTTGAGTCAGTAAAATAACTTTTGACATTGAGTTGAGTTGAACATTTAGGAACATGAGTCAACTGACTCAACTTTCTAGAGACAAGCTTTCATCCCCCCGCTTAAAAACCAAGGCTTGCTGCCGAATTTTTTCATCCCCCCTCCGCTCAACAACGTTTTTATCTGAGTCAATTTGAGTCAACTCACTTGACTAAACAAAAAATTTGAGTCAAATTTGAGTCGACTCATATTTTCATAGAGCCGCTTGAGTCATGAGTGGAGTCAAGGGAAAAATAAGCTCCTTGTTTGAGTCAGAGTTAAGTCAAGGCTTTCTGAAGTTGAATGATGAGTCGAGTCGGCAATTTTTTTGAGTCGAGCACAACCCTGTTCAGATAGTGAGTCATCTGAAAATTCAGACGTGTTCAAAAGTAACTTCCAGAATGCTGGAATTTGCCCCGGCTAATATTTTTTATAGCAAGCAATGCTTCGAGCCGTTAAAACGAAAAAAAAAAGTTTGGTGAAACAACAGATCCTTGTACGACACTCTCCACGAAGCTAATCTGGCCAGCTTTCAACATCACATTCTCGCTGTGTGTATAAGTGCCGTGATTGTTCCAGCCGAGGGCTGTGTGGACCGAGCCGGGCTGCTTGTAGGCCCTCGGCTAAGGGCGTGTTGATGGCCAGAATATTGAAATAATGCGTATGCCGGCGACGTTAACAACGCTAACGGCGACCAGTAACGACGCTCGGCGCTGTGTCGCTCCGTGTTTTCCTCGGCTGCTAGCTTCCATCCATCTCCGTAACAACACACTGAAATGTAATGAGCCGCTATAAATAACGACAACGGTCCGACAACAACCGTTTTCATTAGATCGCGTAATTATTGCTAGCCACGAAGAATACGGAGCACGAAGTTTTTTAGGGCGATGATTTAGTGTTCGGAAATCGGATGCTGAAATGACCCGGAAAATGTTTGAGACACTGGCCCGACTCAGTGCAGGTTCCCAGGGGAAGTGTTTGGTTTGACACACAGGGCTGGGTGCCGCTGTGTTTTTGGGAAAAATCAACAACTCGTGAAAATTTTGTGAGGACGAGCGATCTTGTGAATGTCACAACTAGTTTTATTTTACGTAGTTTGAATTCAGTCTGCCAAACATGCCCAAATTTAAAGCCAGGTGTATAGGTACTGGCTGCAAAATTTACGTAACAACGTTGAAATCTTTAACTCTAAAATCTACTATAAAACCGGCCAGGTGTGTTTTGCACCACTCCAACTAACCGGTCCCTTCCACGCATCTCTCGCTCGTAGTAGGGACCGCGGCGGCAAAAAACCGCCCCGGCCGGGTCTCTCCGCAGTGCCTTCCGCGGTCGTCTCCACCGGCCAAACCAGCCGGCCGTGCAAGCAGCTCAGCGGCGCTCCGACCAGAGATCCGCGCCGCACTGTCACCGGCTCGCAACCCGCCCTGACCGGTTTCTGTTCTGTCTTTGCAGACATGCTTCGTACGCGGAAGCGGCAGCGCGTTTCGGAGTCCGCCTCCAAGGCCTCGGACGAGGACCCAGCACCGAAGCGGGGCCCCAGCCCGGGACCCGACGCTGCGTCCTCGTGATAACCCTTCGGACGTATGGAACGACAGCGAAGCGGCTGGCTCCTCCGGACTGGCTCCTCCGGACTGGCTCCCCCGGCTGGCTCCGGACGGGAGCCGAGCGTCTCTCCGGGCTGGTCCCGGGAGTCGCGGTCATCGGAGGTCATCTGCGCCATTGCGGTCATAGCGAGGTCATCGAGGTCGACCGTGGATCAGACAGACCCCCAGTGGCTGCATATCACCGTCTGTGAACTAAAGTGACCACTGGCTGGTGCAATGTGGACCAATTCTGCAGTGGTTCTAATGAGACTAATCAGATACCTAGACGGAGCTCAAGATGCTCCTCGCAGACATCCCGGCATTAGAAGATCAACTTATCTAACATCGTTCAGGAACCCGATCTCCGATCGCCAGTAGCCAACTCAATGATGGTGTTCAACCACCTCAGAGACGCCCGAAGGCAGTGCGCGGCCTGACCGGGCCTGACCTGGTCACGTGACAGTGACGTGGTGGCGGTCAGATGACCTCCGGTGACCCGGGCCGCGGCAGGGACGGCCTGTTGTTAACTAGTGTGATGAGTGTCTTGTTGCTATGCCGCTGTTGATGCCATTCGGGGCCGCTCGGCTCCGGCCTTCTCTTTGTATTGGTTCAGTGTTTTTGCTTTTGTATCATACCGTAAAAATTAGCTGAATCTAGGGTGTATTCTGTTTACAGAAGAAAGCACGGTAAATAGCTTTAAACGCCTTTGGTTGTCCCTGACGGGACGTCTAATTCTTCGGATTTAACGTTGACTGCCGGTCGTCTTGTTGTGGCCGGCAGTGGAAGCTTGTTTAGTGGTGCGCTGTCTGTCTGTAGAATTTGAAAACCAGTGTACACCGCCTCGGGCGGTTTGTGCCCGGCTGACAAGGTAACACCATGGCGACAAGACTTGTTGTATGTGTATTGCGTATAGACATAGTGGGTCACGGAATGCTTGCTTGTCGAGGCGTGAGTGAATTTGTGAGTGTGAGTTGTTTTGTTGCGCGTCTCGCGATTGTAATAATCACCGATGCAGTGCTCCTGGCGCATCCAAAGAGCGGTCCGCAGCGACGCGCAATTATGTGGCGCAGACGCGCTACAAATGTGACGCAGCTGTGACAGCCGCAGTGCTCTGAGATCCCGAGCCAGTTTCGAGGCGTGCTTCTTCGCTTTGCTCTCGGAGCATTCTAGTCCGGTGATCTCAAAAGAGGTCAATATTTATTATATATCCTAATCTATTCCGATAAATTCTGTACATATCGTATCAGCCTGGTTTGTTCCGATGAGATGTTCCGTATGATATGAATATATGCATATTCAGTCTTTGAACCTCTTCGTCTTGTAGTTATGTAGTATACCACTATGGCTTTTTACATAATTGACGACTAACCAATGGACTTTGCTTTGGTCAAGCACTTGGCCACTACCTATAGCTTTCGCGTATCTTTGTGTCCTCAGTTTGCTTCAATTGTACACGTTTTCGTATTCCACACGAAATACACAACACACGATGACTGTTGACGCTACCATCATTCTTATTCCTAAACCTCAACTGTCACAAACACCCTCCCCAGCGAAGGACATGCGTATCCATGAGCCCCTCTTGGCACTCTCGGATACCACCGGTCACCGTGGGGGTCACTGTGCCCGGTCACGTGATTTAAATACTGGCCCTCTGGCCCGTGTAAAAACCCCAACCCACCGGCAGCCTGGTCGTCCCGCTATCCAAGGTATGGCGTCCGGCCTGCCGTCCGGGAGGCTCTGCAGGGGGCCGGGCCGCGCTGGGAATTCTGGCTCACCTGTGCGCCCTGCACATGCCTCGGTGTTCCGTTGGGGCGTCACGGTCGCCTAAGTTGGCGGTGGGACGTGTCCCAGGGTTTACTCAGAGAGGGCGATGCATATTGCATGTTAGATAAAGGTAGGTCATGAGAGATGGTTCAAGCTCAATGTTTTATGGAGAACCGCGAATAAAGCCAGACGATGACGCGCTTGTACTTTCACAACACTGGTGTAGTTAGTATTTTGAGCTGGAGTATAGATCACACAAAACTGATTTTGCTGTAATAATGAGTCAACTTTAGTGCAACAAGGATTATACATAAATGATCATCATAGAACCACATTGATGTTAACACCGAACACTGACCGATCACGGAACGCTAAAAAAGACCGAGGAAGGCTGGGAAGGCTGGGGTTGAGACGGCCGAGAAAGGGTTAGCGGCGGCGTCTGCTGTGATTTAGTAGCACCGATTTGCGCCAGATCTAACGCCGCCGCGCCACAAAGAGACCGCCCTGATCTTCGCACTGATCTCTGACCAGACCGGCGATCTTATCTGCGGCTAGGGGTATAGCTCAGTATGTTTCGCGTGTTCACAGCGGAAAAGGGCACCCCAAGAAAGTGAAAGCTGCACGAATAAAATAACTTTGAGTAAGAGCACACATCCTCCCCTCCCCTATGAACACAAGTAGCCCCTATCAGATTGAACCCCACAGTGGCAGGGACACTCGGAATGTGACACGTCGTTCCAACATTATCACCGGAATGTAAGTCGGCAGTGTCCTCTCCCTTTACCCTCTCCCCAGCTCAGGTGAACAGACAGAGCGGCGCCTGAGCTCCCGAATCGGCCACACCAGAATCGGCAGGGAACAGGCAGTGAATGGCCCTCCGCCGCCACAGAAGAGAGCCCGAGAAATGATGAAGTGCGGGAAGGGTGCGCCAGTGTCGGTCCGCCGCCGGAGAGTTGATGAATTCGGCGTCGCCCGGGCCCGATAAAGGCACAAATGGCTGAGAATGTGGTGCACCGCGTTATCGCTGCTGTGAGGTGAAATCGGCAGCCGAGTGAGTGGCTGGGCGCTGGGAACCTTGGCGGAGGGTGCCCCCGGGCAATCAACGGGACCATTTTGCCTGATTTGCTCACATTCTGTTCGTTTTATTGGCGTTTTTGTAAAAACAGATTGATTGGTACGAAAACCATTGTTGAACTGAAGCAATATATATTGTGCAGGTGTTTTTCAACGGTGAAGATAGATAGACTGGCACCCACACACAAACGATAAGCAATGCAATATTGTAGGTGTTGTGTACATCGCACAATGTACTGTCAACAACGTTACTAACAACAACAGCATCAACAAAAGCAACAATGAGTCAACACTCACAATTTTAATTGCCAACAAAAATAGGCTATCCCCGTCTCATCATAAGTGAAGATTTGAACTGACTCCGCTGCAAACAGTCAATCCCCTTCCGTTTCTCTCTTGCATCATTCCCCTTCGACTCCACGATACCCCGCCACACCCCGACGTGTCGCCCTCTCCCTCTACGTCATCTGCGTGGCGGCGGCGGGCGAGCCGGCGTGGCGCCACCCGTCACATTCCGTGACACGTGACAGTCCGTCACTCAGCCGGCGGCGTGACACCGACACAGTCTTTCGCAGCCCGCTGTCGCACGGAATGTGGTGATCGGAATACCGTCGGGTCATGGGGCAGGCTGGGGTAGAGGAGAGTGGGGCGGAGCGGGGAGGTCAGGGGAGGGGTGGGGCGGTGACCGGGAGCTGGCAGCTCGTCCAATTTCGGTGTCACCAGAGCTCCAATTTCCTGATCGGCACCACACGGTGATATGGTTTTCATTTACGAAAAACGTAAAGCGTATTTAGTATCACCAATACTCCAATTCCACGGGCAAACAACACACACAGCACATCGATAATGTATAGTCGATAGATTGTTTCAATATGGTCATCTCAGCACAAGCAGAATAAATGTGGGTGCAATATTTTTTTGATAAATATCCCGGTTAGCAAGGGGGCGCTTTATGGCCGGTGTTTCTTGACCAGTAAGTGTTTAGTGGAGCTCACCAACCATGCGCTGAGGGCATTGTTCTCACCTTTCATGCTTCTATCATCCTCCCTGTCTTCCCGCCCACTGGTGATTAGGACTGCTGTCTGTGGAGACAGTCACGGGCCTGCAGCAGAGGCGTCAACTGCGGTCCGTCCTCCCTGTCCACAGTCGTCCCTTTGTTCTCAGCGGCCCGCTAAGGGGCGGTACCTTTCTCCCGGGGAGGGGATGCTGCCCTGATCGGCCCTCCCGACCCCTGCCGTAACCACTGTCCTCGGCGACCGGCGCCGTCAACCTGTCTGCCGCCCTGGCCCAGGGGCGGCGCCGCGCCGCGCGGCACTCCAGGTCTTAAAATTGGCCCTCCTCCCACTTTAAATGTCCAAATTACACGTATGTCCACCTGGACATTACACACATTAGGAGACACAGAAAGCGTCCGTCCGTGGCCGATGGAACCGATACTAATTAGACCCAAGGCTCGGTAATTTATGGTAATATATGCACAATAATCGGAGAGTTCGATTTGGTCGGGGATTCGCGGCCGGCGCCCTCCTAAAACAGGGCACTGTGGTCGCGCCGCCGGCGGCCTCCTCGATAAGGACCCCGAATGCTGTCAATAAGAGCCGTGCGTCTATCGCGGCACGGTAATTTATGCAGGCGAATTACCATTGTGGAGCCCCGGGCGGCGGCTGGGCCGTGTGTTTAGATGCCCGGCCACGGCCCGGCGGTCGGGCGCAGGCCGGGCGGACGGCACGCGTGCCCGGCGCCGCGCCGGCTCCAATTTCGGGGCGCCGCCGCAAGTGCGGCCTGTTTCGGGACGGGACCTATCTCCGGGCGAGGCGGCGGACAACACAGAGGCCACATAGCCGGCGGCGACGCGATTCGGCGCGCTGCCTCTAAATAATCCGGCGCTCTTGTCCAGACAAACACGTGCTGGTAACTGGCCCACCGTATTCCAAAACAATATACACAGGTGGAAACAGACTTATTTGAGCCGTACACGGAGAGAGATCTCCTCAAGTGCATTCACTGCAATAAAAGTGCTGGTTCGAACCCAATCGATGCTTATCAAATGAAACGGTGCAATGACACGTATTCGTGCAAAGGTATCATTCGATGCTTTCAATTCGGCATCGTAATGGGCGCCTTCAGTCGTAAGTACAATCATCTCACGCCATGAACTCCTTCCATACAAAGCTAAGGCCTTTTTCGATTTCAGAGGAAACCAGTTTTAAACCTCAGTCCGTGACTAGTCCGCGGCGGTCCGATGGTATGAAGGCCGTATACCCGCTGAAGCTGTTTTGACGTCATGCTATGCCGCACCCTCAGGATGCAGGCAGACCTAATAGGTCATACATCTTCACAACGGCCTGCACTGCAAACCATGCAGCCAAATGGGACGGTGAGTGATACGAAAAGACATAACGGCGTGTCCCGAAGGCAATCACTTATTAGAAACGCGCCTTATGGGGACTTTGGAAAATATCATCGATTGAAATCGATCTAAGGTAGAAAGATGTGACTCCAAAAAGCGGTAGTGAAAATGATTGAATGAATAATGCCGCATTGTGACACGAGCTAGATGGAACAAGCTAAGCATAGTCATACAACCTGCATTCAGCTTCCAATTACATGGATTGTTTCTCTATAAACCACATAGTACGGCGCCGTAGTGCCGTGTCCTGTCGACCTAACTATGACACACTGCAGGTCAATGTGCCAGGTCATCGAGCTGACGCCGTTCCCGGGGTCGCTGACTCGGCGTCAACTCGCGACCTGCGGGGATGGGGTAGGGATTGTGGTTGTGGGGTGAGGGGTGCTGTTTATGACCAACGGTCTGGAACTGTGGCGTGCCACAACATCCACCCTGTGTGACCAACAAAAACAGAACAGCGCAGGGCAGCGCCCTCGGCCGCGGCGCGCCCTACAAAACATTTCTGACCCATCATTGGGAATTTAAGGCCAGGGGACATGGTTTATGCGGTAGCCGCGGGGCGGGACTGGCCGGCGGCCCCCGCCGCGGTCCCGCTGGGCTCGGCACGCCTCCCCCGCCCCTCGGAATTGTTAACATCCCCCTGGAAAATATCTCATCGTAGTGCGACTCGGCCCGTCGCCGCGGGCGGGGAACAGCAGCGGGGACGCCCGAGGACGGGACGGCGGGGGGACGGCCCGGACCGCGGGGAGGACCGCGGGAGGGACCACGGGAGGACCAGAGGTCGATCTACAGCGGCCGGACCGCGCGGCTGTCGCCCGGCCCAGACAGCGCGGCTGGCCCGGGCCGGCCCGGGGTAAACAGGTCCGACTTCGAAGGCGGACAGGCTGACAGGTGCCGCCCCACCTGTTGCCCCCCAGGACGTGCACAGGTGTGCTCGTTACCCGCCATTATTCGCATTACATTGCCGCCGGGAGCGGAGTCGAGAGTCGTAGAGCAGGAGCGCCACTTTTGGAAGAAACTAACGGCTCTATAAGGAAATGTTTGGTTTGCTTAGGAG